TAACGGAGACCACTGAGTCCACTGATCTCAGGCTCAGGGGAGAGAGTTCCAGAGTCTGGGGGCCACAGCAGCAAATGATCTGTCACCTTTGGTCTTTAGCCTGGTGCTGCACAACCAGTAGGCTTTGGTCACTGGACCTCAGGGACCTGCTGGGGGTGTAGGGACTAAGAAGATCACCAATGTAAGATGGTGCTTGTCCATGTAAGGCCCTATAGACCAGAACCAGGATCTTGAAATGAACCCTGAAGTTGACTGGCAGCCAGTGAAGCTGGAGGAGAAGCGGGGTGATGTGGGTGTGTTTGGAGGACTTGGTCAAAAGCCGAGCACAGGCATTCTGAACCACCTGTAGACGGTTCAGGGAGGTTCTTCTCAGACACGTGAAAAGAGAGTTACAGTAGTCTAAGCATGAGGAGATGAAGGTGTGGATAACTGTCTCAAGTTCAGAGCGAGACAGAATGGGACTCAGCTTAACAATGTTCCTGAGATGGAAGAAGGAAGAGCCAAAAAGAGAACTGACATGAGAATCCAGGGTGAGAGCTGGGTTAAAGGTCACGCCAAGATTCCTGACAGAAGGTTTGGTGTGGGAAGCAATCTGGCCATTAATCCCTTTTCAGATTGACATTCCGGAATATGTGTGGACAATTCAGTCCAGTTTTTAACCCGAACTGTGCTTTCAGACACACCACTTTTGTACCGGAACCTGTCCTTTCGGCTGCCTTCACACAGCAGGGAAAAGTTGCAGATGTCCGGGGGGTGGGGGGATCGGACTTATGTTAAGCATAATTCTGCGCACACGAAGGCGCATAAGACCTGGATGATGGCGCTCAATGGTTAAAGGAATCACGGGAGCGGTGTGATGCGCTCCGTCGCGCGTCTAGACGGTACCGTAGGAGGCGAGCTGCCACGGTTTGTCGCGAGAGCGAGTTATCTAGGAGCTCACAGCGTCCCCCGGTCCCCTCCTCCCTGTCCGGAACTCGACCTTACCAGTCTGAAGCAGCCACCTTGTCCGTAACAAGTCCGGACCTGTTACTAGGGGCATCGTCCGGTTTAATTACGGAAAACATTATCCGGATGTTTGTATTCAGTCACAAAGGTCTTACAGACAGAGTCCGGAACATTTCCGTTTTTCATGGCCTGTCTGAAGGGGGCTCAAGAGAGTCTCTGACTTTGGGAACCAGCTTGTCTGGAGCACAGATGAGGATCTCACTCTTATCTTCATTCAGCTTTGTGGGGGCCAGACCATCACTTCCAGGATTTCTGGTTCTTTAAACTGAAGATGGTTCTGAATGACTTTGGCAGGATGTTTGGGGCCACTCACTTTGCATTTTGTAAATTGATCAAAATAAATGAATTTATATTTCTGAAAGCATTCTTTGTTTATAGCTTTTCTCACACCTGCCTAAAATACTTGCACAATACTGAGCATGTATGCCACTGTGGCTCACCGTTTAAAGTATAAATTCCAATAGTTTTTGTGGATAATCTTATTTAGACAACAAAAGGCAAGTTAAACTGTTATATATATATATATATATATATATATATATATATATATATATATAATTTTTTTTTTACGAAAAACGAATGAGCGATGCAACATGTTCACTTGCCCCCCATGAAACTTTTCTGTGTGCACCACTGCTCATGTTCCAGTTCCATCACCATCCCACCAGTAAACAGCTTTTGAACAGCAGCCTGGTGTCAAAAGTTGTTTTAATTTAAATGTACCTCATTAAAACATTTTCTTGTTTCTTTTTGTATTCTGTTTATCAATCCTGTCACCAAAATAATGATTTAAAGTCAGATTACCTTTGTTTTCTTTAACTGCTGTTAGGGGTAACTGTGGCCACCTCAAGTTTCAGCCTTAAACAAAGTGTTTCACCAAAATAAAAGCACACATGTGGACCATGGATTTTCTTTCATGATGTATGTTATATGAACTAGTTAAAAGAAGAATATCATTCATCTTGTTTGATCTTTGAAGCTGCTCTTCTATCCTTTGCTAATGGGTTTTCATTCATATTTCCCTTCTTCACGGCTCAGACCAAGGCCAGTGGCAAATTAAAAAAGGCTACAGAATGAGATCTTCCTTTTACTGAATGTCACACATGATGTAAGAGTTAATTTGACACATAATGTGACTTTCTCATTCTCTTTTGCACCCACTGTTCTCTAATAATGATCTGCTAAAGGGTGTTTGTCTCCAGCTTATTACAAGGTTTCATTAGGGATTTTATATATATATATATATATATATATATATATATATATATATATATATATATATATATATATATATATATATATATATATAAATTTGTTTATTTATTTATTTTCCGTCCTTTCTGATGGGGGCTTTATTCTAAACTGAGAGAGTGGATGACACACTGGTGCTGCATCTTTCCAAAACCACTCATCTGTCCATTAGATTTGTGTTTTCTCAGAGCACTGCAGCAGCCGATTGTGCCCCCATGATGAAGCTGATCACCTCTGCAACGTTCCTTCTATAGGAAAAAAAGCACTTTCTTCATTGAGACCAAAAATGAATCATCAGCAAAGCCCGATAATCTATTCATGCATCTGAAGGCTCCATCCACATTCAGGCTGTTTTTAATTTGCATGCTCTCACAAGGTCTGCAAAAAAAGAAAAAAAGACAAACATGCATTATGACCCAAATAATAGGAAAAAAAAAGACACTCGTGATCCTCAGTGATATAATGAAATTTCACTGTCATAATTAGTGCTGAATTTTCCATTTTCTTGACTTGCTGGTGGCTGACGAGTAGCTTTGGTTTGGTGCCCCAGAGAAAAGATGTGATGTCATGGTCTAATTACGTCCAAGGAGGCAAACGCTATCACGGGTTTCTGAAGTCTCCTGATGCCCGTAAGCAACCGACAGGAGGTGTTGATGGTCAACCTCTACGCCCACATTCTCTATCCCTTTCTCTTTCTCCTACATTATTATTACCATCACAACTAGACCTATTTTTATCCTTCCGATATGTAATAATTCAACTAGTCCAGATAGTTCTGACCAATAAACCCTTGGATGGCATCATTCAGCTGCTTTATTATTGAAGTATTTCTTTCTTTATTATTTCAGAATCAGAATCACAACATTAGGAAATTGCCGTGGTTCTTGGTGCAAAAAACAAGAGATAAGAAATAAGCACAATAAAATATTAACCTAGAGAAGCAATAATTATGGAAATGGCTAGGGACAGTTGTAGGTGCTGATCAGAGCCCAACAGTCAGGTGCAAACACAACACGGGGTCATGTGACCGGTGGGATCAAGCCACTGGAGTGGGCATCCAACTGCAGGGGGAAAAAAAACAAGAAGTTCTGGTCCAAACAGACTTTTAAATTTTCATTCAGAAGGAAAAAAAACCAACATAAACCCACAAAAACCATGAATGAAAAGGAGCAGAAGTAAGGAGACATCTTTCAGGTCTCTGCCCTGATTTTTACAAAGTAAAACATCATCAAATACATTCCTCTCAAACCTACAAACCACAGCAAATTATTTGATAATTTTTCCTTTTTTCACCATTCTGATCTGATCTCCATTACAAAAACTCAGCTCCGACTTACTGTGCATTTCCATGGTTCCACAAAGCACTAAACTTAATATAGTTTCTAAACATACTGAGTGGCCCTGCAGCTATGATTTCTTTGTTTTTCATGTCTTTATTCTGTGTGCACCAGTACTGAATTCCTTCCTTCTAAACTTTTGTTTATGAAGACATCAGTTCCTTTCAAATTATAGCTACTTACTCTAATTCAAACATTAGAAACGATGGGCACCCTGCGCTACAAGCGATTGAGTGCCGGTGCTCAACAGCTGGGAGAAGAAGGGGGCTGGAGCACTCAGGTCAATGTCAAAAAAATTAACAGGTGCAGATAAATAAACCAACGTCTTCAAACAGTGTTGGAATATTTCTTGGTGATGTATTTTTGCTAGCTCTGTATGATGCTTGTAGTACTTTCCAGTCCACTAAATCAGAAAAAGAAAATTAGCAGTTTGATTGATATTTCATTAAAAAATGGATAAGTAAGAAGGATGATTATGATGGTTATCATTGATGGATCTTAAGCTGGGCGGACACTGTGCGACTTTTTCACTCGTAGCACTCAGCTTCAGCTCAAACTGTACGACTTCCTCGCAGGGCAGATCTCACGAGTCATGTGCTCACACTGCACGACCCAGTTCTTGGATGCGACCTGACTGCTCACACTGTACGTCTGGTAGCAACACGTCGGACCTAAAATATGCTAAAATCTGAGATGGTACGGCTCCCATCTACCTGAATCCTCTTGCAAAGGCTTACGTCTCGGCCCGGCCGCTCCGGTCATCACAGGATCGTCGGCTAGCAGTGCCTACACCACGCTCAGGACAATCCAGACTCTTCTCATGCATCGTTCCACAAATGTGGAATGACCTACCAAGCACTACCAGAACAGGGGCTTCCTTTTCGACTTTCAAGAAACTCCTGAAGACCCTGCTCTTCAGAGAGCATCTTCTAAACTAGCACCCTCCCTGCACCCGTTCCCCTCTCTACTGTCCACTCCTTGTTCCCTCCTCTCCATGATTCGCTGCCTCACTGCCACCTACGACTGACTAGAAATTGTTTGTTGTTGTTGCTGCTGTTGCTGTTGTTGTTGTTGTTGTTGTTAGCCTCAAGAGCAACATGCCAATTATAACTTGTAAGTTGCTATGGACAAAAGTGTCTGCTAAATACATAAACATAAATACACCAGATGCTTTTAGTTTAGGAGGCGTTCTGTTGACATGACACTGATTATAGAGCCTTTTGTGACATCTTCAGTCTCAATAAACAGGCTTCAGCCCATTCTTTTTACCAGATCATCATGTGATTATTTGACATTTATAATGTTATTGCTATTTATAAGCTGGCTTGGGCAACTGGAAAACACCATGTCTCATCAAAGGGAGAATGAAACAGAAACTTCTAAACTGCTGTGACCAGCAGGATTTCTTGAAAATGCTTTAATTCCCATGGGTCATGACTGTGTGTCCAGTGCTGCTTTGGCTTTGACTTGTTAGAACGAGCAGTGTGTGGTATTTTTAATGAAAGACATCTCTGAATTTCACTACTCAGGTTTGTTTCTACCTCATAAAACCCTCTGACCTGTGTGGGTTTAAGTGCACGAGAGTGCATGAGCACAGTGGTATGTCTTCCAGGCTGCTCACCAGGCTTTATTGACCTTTCACAGCTAAGCAGGCATCTGTTGCTAATTGTTTACCCACATCCTGTTTCATCACTGCTTGATTGATTGAAAATGTTTTAAAATGTCATGTTTTTGTCTTTAAATTGGATCTTAGTGCAGATAAACACGTTTTGTTCTTTTTATTGTTGCTGTCAGCGGCCTGGTTGGGCAAACACATGGGGACACAATAATTGGAAAGTGGGAAGTAGTATTATTTCATTAGAGAGAAGAATAACTGGAGAGACTGAGTCTTCCTCTCTTAATTAACTTTACAAACACAAGTAAACAGTTGTTTGAGCCAATTGATCCGTGACGTCAACCAACTACAGCCAATCACCGCGCATACACAGGCACCTTTTTTGTTAATCCGCTTTGGCGAGAGGAGCTGTCCGTTCAGCACCACACAACGCGCGCCCTCCGTGCCAGAAATAGGCTCGTTAGTCTCTGCGCCATTTGCGGGGCTTACGGTGACAGACTCACACTTGATCGGATTTTCTTATCTTTGTTGGTTGGCCATCATGGCGCTGCTCTGAGGAAATCAGCTTGGCCCATTTAAGACCCGCCAGGAGACACTTTTACGCGTCGAACTGAGGAGTTGGTCAGAGAGAGTTGGGTTCAATCTTTCCCTCGACTGGGCCTCTTGAACATCAGCGGTATGCTTTTACTCCTGTGCGGATTTGTGTGCGTTTGCGCGCTCGGATGTAGCCAATTAATTAACGGGCAGCCGGATGACGGAAAGCGCTACATCTGTCGGGCAATACCCATGAGCAGCGATGCCAGCTGCCCCGTGACTTTATTACCAGACTTAAACGTAGGGAGTCAGGAAGAGGAGCTCAGGAACACCATTATGCAGCTACGGGAGACGATTGTGCAGCAGAAGGAAACGATTTCTAAGCAGCTGGGCACCATCAACGAGCTGATCACCAAGCTGTCCCTGTGCGCGTCAGCCACAAACCAGAGGAAGAACGGGAAAGGGGGTTCATGGGGGAAGGACAAGCAGAATACCATGGGGGATGTTCCCACAGATCCAAACGGCTCCATCGATAGTCTGGGGAAAACCATGCAGGGGCTCAAGGAGCGTCTGGAGAACCTGGAGGTAAGATGCCCAACTGCGCAAAACCGCACCAGAACGCAGCGCCGTGCGTAAAAATCACAGTTTGGATCTGGATTTAGCTCTCCTGTTGGGTTGAACTTCTTGGTTTTGACTTCAACAATATTGTAAATCCGCGATAACACGTGAATTAACACCTTATGATAGACTAAATATTTTTTAATTAACAAGTGTTTAAAAGAAAAAAATGTGCTTGGATTTCACATCTTTATAGGCCTCATTGGCCCAAAGTGTTAGAACCTTTAGTCACATGATCTTCACTGAGAAGGGGGCATAGCCCTCCTGAGAACACATAAATACGCTTCCTGTAAAAGTGACATTATGGTAAATGCAAAACTAATCAATTGTGATCATCTGTCAGATTTTAGCTATTCATTCAGCGACTGCAAGAAGTGGTAACACCGTGTGCTTGGTGTATAAACACTCCACTCACAGCATAATCAATACAAACTCTCTAGTAACAAAGATATATAACACCATTTTCTTTTGATTGCTTGAGATTGTGCTGCAAGCCAGAGCAGAGCTCTCCCAAATCAGTGGAGAATTGTGCTGAAGGAGGGTGTTGAGCTGTGAGAATAACTATATGTATGTGACGGGACCTAGGCTGAAAGAGGTGACGACCCAGCTTATTGTTTCTGTGAAAATTCTATATAAATAGAAATGTCAAGCAGATTATTTGCCCTAATGGGAAATCACAACATAAAAAGTCTAATCGGAGTCTATAAAAGGACAAATGCTGGATGCAGAAATGTAAAGCAGAAGTTACGCCAACTGAAGTCAAAACGCCGCCGCCACCGCTGGCTAGTTCTGGAATAAAACTGCTTCCATGTAAAGAGAGTAACTGAAATTAATAAAGGTTAATCAAAATAAAAAAAACGACTAAATGTCTTTGTGTATTATCTGCTGCTATTTGGTTTGAATACCATTTTTTTATGTTTAGTTGGAATTGCTTATTTTATATCTGTCATGGCTCGAGGTAAGTGTCTAACCCAAGACATGCAGAATGAACACACGTAGTCCAAAGCAGTAAAGTAAAATGTCTTTATTATAAAAACGGGAACTGAAACCGCACAGGGGAGTCCTGTGGGATGAGCAATATGGCTCGAGTCTCTGAGGTGCTCAGGTTAATCAGGAGAGGAGGGGAAGCCGGGGAGGACGCATGGGCAGAGGGTGAGAGATCCAGGAGGGGTGAGGTAGCAGAGGGAAAGCCAAACAGGAACAGCGGAGGAGGATGGGACATGATGAGTATGTTCCAGAAAACGAAGACAGCGAGGGTGAGTAGATGATGAGATGATCTTGAGCGAGACAAAAACAGGCATAAGGGATAATCCAATTCCAAATCCAAATCCAAAATACAATCCAAGGTCATAAATCCACTAGTCGAAGGCGAGTCAAAACACGAATTAACACGGTCAGAGTTCAGAGTCGAGTGGCTGGTGCTACCTAAACTGGTGCAATCATCCGGCAAAGTGATGTGTCTCCATCCTCCTTTTGAACCCGCGTCCCTGATTGGGAAATCTCCTGCAGCTGCCGCTCCCCCTGCTCCTCACCTGTGGAGAATTAGCTTAGAGTCTGGTGAGAGGAGAAGGTGTGACTCACCTCTGCCCAGGAACATGACAATATCCTTTAAAGCCCCCTTATGTATGTAAGGAAGTGGGTAGGGCATTCAGCTTTGCACCTTTAAGAGGGCTGGTGACTTCCAGTTGCACCACTGGTGGGGAACAGAGATCACTAGTTTGCTTTAATATACAGGTGAAAATCCAAAAATCCGATTATGATGTAAAACTTCATTCATGTCAGTAATTCAGCTTAAAAGATGAAAAAAGGCTCATTCCATGCAAAACCAGAGATTTAAAACCTTTATTTGTTATAATAGAGATGATCATGGCTTACAGCTTCTGAAAACCCCACATTCAAAATCTCAGACAATAAGAATAATGTGTGAAATCAACAAAACAAGGTTTTTAAATAAAGAAACGTCGCACAGCTGAAGGAATAATCATGCACCTGTACTCAGAGCTTAGTTTGGTCCCTTTTTGCTTTTACTGAAATAACAAACTTTTAACAATATTCCAATTTTTTGAGTTTCACCTGTATACACTGCTGGTTGGAGCTAAAACTCAGTTTCACAGGAAAGTGAAGCTCAATTTGTTAGTGAGTCACCAAACCTTAGTTTACTGTTGGAGATCTTTAGTGAGAAAGGCAAACGTGTGTGTGTGTGTGTGTGTGTGTGTGTGTGTGTGTGTGTGTGTGTGTGTGTGTGTGTGTGTGTGTGTGTGTGTGTGTGTGTGTGTGTGTGTGTGTGTGGTTGTGAGGGAACATTCTGGGAAGAAGAAAATGAATTCAAGAAAAGTAGAACTGGTCAACAGGAGGGTGAAATCAAAAGGGCGAGTCAGTGCTCGGCACTTATTCATCCCAGATTCATTAAGTGGCCAGCGTGTAAACTCTTAGGCTTGATGAGTGGTCTCAAAGAGATGTGGTGTGTTGTCTTTCCTCATCTTTGAATGACTGCTTTGAAAAATAGAAATAATATTCTCTTTTTACCCTCATTTGCTCTTTTAATGGTAAATTGTCCAAACAACAATAGGATGCTCTCAGCATTAAGCCACGAGCCGTCACAAGTCGGATAAATCAGAGTCAGAAGTTGCATCACTCTGATTCCACTGGATTTTTACCCAATCGCCTTTGTGCACTTCCTGCTCACAATCTCTTTATTCATCACCCCGTGTACAGCAACAGCAGATGAGGGCCAATATATCTGGCACCTCCTTCCCCAGTGAGCTCCGCGACCTGCTCCAGCGGCGGCTTGGGGATCTGGAAAAGCAGCTGCTGAAAAAGGTCAGCAACTTGGAGGAGGAAAAGACTATGCTGTCCAACGCCACGGCAGCCTACAGGCAGAAGACGGAAAGCACTCTGAATGCTCTGGTGGAGAGAATCAACGAGCTGGAGAAAGGTACAGGAAGGATGTCGAGATCTGTAGATTACATGGAAGGAGTTTGGAGCGTTTGGCAGCAATTTCTGGGGTCATCATTTTCAGTCCTTCTATGCTTTTTGTTTTAGGGGGAGGAGATTTTAAGTCCCCTGAGCAGTTCAAGCTGTCCCTCCCCCAGAGGACTAACTACTTGTACGGCCGCATCACCAAGACCCTCCCGGAGATGTACGCCTTCACCCTCTGCATGTGGGTCAAGTCCAGCGCAAGCCCCGGCATCGGAACGCCGTTCTCCTATGGTGTTCCAGGCCAAGCCAACGAGATCGTCCTGATAGAGTGGGGCAACAACCCAATAGAGCTGCTTATCAATGACAAGGTGAGGCACACTTTTGTTGCTGATTAAAATACAATCATTTGTTTAGTGGTTTAACATGGTTAAAGCGTCTGCCTGTAGGTTGCCCAGCTGCCCCTGGAGGTGCGTGATGGGAAGTGGCACCACATCTGCATCTCCTGGACCACACGGGACGGCCAGTGGGAGGCTTACCAAGACGGGGAGAGAAAGGGCGCTGGTGACAACCTCGCAGCCTGGCATCCCATCAAACCCGGGGGAGTCATCATCCTGGGACAGGAGCAGGTAAATGTGTTTCATTGTGGGCATGGACAGCACATTTCCAATGGTTCTGTGTCCGATAATCATCAGTCTGGTGTCGTTATCGCAAGTTAACCTTTTAAAAGAATAAGGTGAAGTTGTTCTGTTGATGAGCTGAGCAGCTAAAGAGGCACATTTACGGCTGCAGAAGGAAATGAGAAGTCAATTTCTTAATGGGAACATTTAAAAGGAGATGCCAACAAAAACACTTTGCATTTAAATAATATAGGTTAACACTAAAATCACAACCATTAAAGGAAAACTAAAAACAACGCAAAAGGAAATGAATTAGCTATGTTCAGTTGAGATTTATGATTTATTATTAAAAATAAACTTGAAAACTAAACTGATCTCTCATCCTGATGTCATTTAGGTTATGATAAAAACAAGTTAATGACCTCAACGTCAGTGACGTCTTGTGTTTCTCAATGTCAAGGCGCCTGGCCTAGCAAGGCGTTGGCTTGCTAGGCCAGGCGCCTTGCTTACGAGGACACTGTCCTTCCTTGGTCAAAGAAAACGGTTAAATGGAACAGACTTACATCTTGTGATGTTGTTTGATATTGGTTAAATTAAATATGTAAGCGAGTTACCATTGGTTAGCCATCAAAACTGATACTACCAAGCAGCTAACCAACCATAGCTAACTGCTTTGGATCTAAAAAATGTGTTAGATATCAGCCCGATAGCTACAGTGAGTTGACTTATATTTAAACTGGAAATTTGCCCTGAAGTAGTTGCAGGCTTCTGAGCCGCCATCCTTTATAAAATACTGTGCTGCATTCTGGGAAAATTTTTGACCAAAGCCTAGGCTACAAGACAGCTCCCATGTCTCCTTGGTCAGCTAGCTAAACGGCTAACAAACAGAGAACAGACGCCTCGGTAGCACATGGACATTTGAACACGACTTAGCGGTTCCTGATGGCGTATCTCCTAGGCAACTGGGGCAGGTCCAAAACATCAAGGTGAGGTTCCTTGACATTGAGAAACACCCATTGTAAATCTGATGGTGCATCGCAGTTAATCAGCATTAGCAAACACAAAAATGGCTGCAACTCAGGCAGTTTTACAGATATTAAGCTAAAATCTAATTTAATAGAATTATTTACAAACTTAAGCATACTTTTAGTTTTAACACACTGCACAATTTTTTTTGTTAAAGCTTTTTAATTAAAGCTGCTGTGGTGAAACTGCAAACAAGCTTCCTTGGGTATCTTCACTGGTTCTGCGACCACTAGAACCAAAAACCCACTTTGTCAGAGGAAACAACATAATGCCAGTGGATACTGCTAAACACTAGTCGCTGGTTTCCACGTCCAAACGTCTTTTCTTGTCCGTGACTTCAGATGGTGTTTTTCCTTTTGGGACTCTGGTAGTTTGTTCTAAAGTTGAAGTGGTAGCAGCCGGCTGTTTCTCCTGCTCTGATATTATTGAGCGGAGAACCTCTCACATCAGTGGTGTCAGTGGTTAGCGCCACAATATATTTATAGCTATACTATGCTAAAGGTGTGGAACACAGAAAATAGAAAACATAAACATGTGTTAAGCTAACTTGTTTTCCAAATTTGCTAGCAGCTTTAACCCTCCCACTGTCCCAATGGGTGTGACCCCACGAGGAAAGTTGACCATTGAGCAGGATTGATGGTTTATCCCTTGGGTCCATGTGGCAGGGGTGAGGAGTGAGTACCACCCATAAAGACGGGGGAGGGGGGGGGGGTAGTTAAAGCAGAGATTAATAGTCAAAAAGACATTTTTCTCAGAGGGCCCCATCTAGAGACAGACATATGTTCTGCACCTTATGTGTGTGTGTGTGTGTGTGTGTGTGTGTGTGTGTGTGTGTGTGTGTGTGTGTGTATTTGTATTTATAGGTTTATGTGGACAAATTTTAACTTTAAACCTGTAGCGTGTGGACATTTTCACATTATGGGGACATTTGACTGGTCACCACAATGGCAAAATACCCTAAAATGTGGTTTTAGAAATCGGGTGTGAATTAACTTTTGTTTAGGTTAGGGTTAGTAATAGAACAGCATTGGTTATGGTTAGGATTGGGGTATGAGTTAGGCATTATACAGTCACAAAAATGAAATAAAAAAAATGAATGGAAGTCAAAGGAGGGTCCACACAAGCATATAAATACAAATATGTGTGTGTGTGTGTGTGTGTGTGTGTGTGTGTGTGTGTGTGTGTACTTTTTTAAAGTCTTGCTTGTCCATAAGAAATGTTGCCAGCTCTGTGTCTGTCTAGGTATGACTGTCCCAGGTGTGTACACTAGCGTATGCTCCGTGACTGACATCTGTATGCGAGTGGATGTCCACTGCTGTTGGCTAATGCTGAGCGGCGCTCAAACCAAATTACACGAGTCACTCCGAGGTGGGGTCGGGCTTAGCAAAATAAATAAATGACATGATGCATTGCCTAAATTATATTACTGTACATGGTCAGACTATCAGTGTTAGTTCCCTAGAAAATCATACATAATTCTTGAAAGGGGCAAAGCTCTGGAATGGTTCTTTAAATAAACTCCGTTTGTCCCTCTCTCAGTTTTAAACTCCACACATTTCCCAAGAATCCTGGGATTTCAATGTTCTTTAAGGAAACTGAAATAAACATAAAATATTTGACAGTTTGAACATGCAAAACCTTTAATAATGTCCTAAATGTTTCTTCTAATGTCTGTTTGTCGGAATCTATTACACACTCTTGAATGCAGCAATGATTAAAAAGGGAGATTGCCTCTTTTACATAATTAGGATGATTAAGTAATTTTTTGAGGGGTTTAAACGTCCATTTTGCTGTTTGTGACCCTTACAGGATGTGGTAGGCGGGCGCTTTGATGCCGGTCAGGCCTTTGTTGGCGAGCTGAGTCAAGTGAACGTCTGGGACAGAGTCCTGAAACCGGGTGAGATCCAATCCATGGCAAACTGCAGCTCCTACCTCCCCGGGAACGTGATCCCCTGGCTGTCAAGCAATGTGGAGGTTTTTGGGAGGGGTGCGTTCAAGCGCCCCCTGGAGATGTGTCAGGAGCGGCTGCTCAATTTTTAAAAAGAACTCATCTTCTGTCTCGTTTCATCAGCTGCTGCTGTCAGCCACCCATCCTTTAAGCTGCTCTTACTGTGGGTGGCTTTGTGGATTTCATTTTACAGACAGATGCTGAAAATGTTTCTGCTTTGTTTTCTTTTTTTACTTTGATTTTAAAAACAAGAAAAGCTGTCGGTGATGGAGTAGTTTTAACAAAATAAGGGGTTTCAGTAATGCAGTCGCGGTATAAAGAGAAGGGGTTCAGGAATCATCAACACGATGCGATCCTCACCCGATTCAACAAAAACAAAGGGAAAACTTCTTTTAGAAATCCAGGAGGGAGGGGCTCGGAGTAGATCCGCTGTTCCTCCACATTTAGAGGAGCCAGCTGAGGTGGCTCGGGCATCTGGGTAGGATGTCTCGTGGACACCTTTTCCGGTTTTCCGGGCACGTCCAAGCAGAGGAGATCTAATGGAAGACCCAGGACACGCTGGAGGGACTATGTCTCTCACCTGGCCAGGGAACGCCTTGGGATTCCCCTGGAAGAGCTGGACCAGGTGGCTGGGGAGAGGGAAGTCTGGGCTTCTCTGCTTGGGCTGCTGCCCCCACATTTGAGACAGGTGACAATCTTTCTAAAAGTGGGCATCCCTGCAAGTTCACCACAACAGTCAGATCTCAGACTGTAGCGGTGTCGACTAGCAGGTTCAAAAATGAACGGGCTAGGAAAGGTTTGGCTTGTTTTCAAGGGTTGAACAAGAAATACTCTTTAACATAGCAGCACATCCCTGGTTTGGAATGAGCCACAAGACCACACGTTTACCCATAATGCACAGCGCCACTTCTGGAGGAGGGCTGATGGATTGGGCTCCTTACAGCCACTGAAACCACTTTAGCTCTTCTCGAGTCTAGAGACCAAACGGGGTCATAAAACAGGACCGTGATCCCAAACAAAGCTGCGGATCCATGACAGAACTACTTCAGTGGTCCCTTAAAGTCCAGACCTGAGCCTGACCTTCAGATAGCTGAGCAGAAACCTCAGAAACAGACACAAGATCAGGTCCGAACCGCCGTGTGAGACGCTGACAGCGTCAGACACAAAGTTCCTGAAGGAGCTTCTACAAACCTTTGAGCTGGACTTGGTTTTAGACAAACAAGAGTTTTTGTTTTGTTTTTTGTTAAATAATTAATGATATGGTGGAATCTGTTAGGCGTATTTCAGACCCTGATAAAGATCAGACCATCCTAATGACACTGATGGGTAAACTCTAAATCCTTTTAGTACCGATGGAGGATAAGAAAACCCACCGACTAGCTGATTTCTCCTGTTCAGAGCTCTCCTTCTACCACGTGAAGGTATTTTCCTCAGCAGCCAAGGAGCTCCCACAGAGATTAGTGTGAAGGCCTGACCTCCTCCTCTGTTCGGGCTCTAAAGACGGCCTCCTGCTCTGCTACTATTAGACTGACTGCTGTGTGGGAGTGAGTCTCACTAATGCCATGTCTTATCCTTAACTAGAGACACGCTCATACCTCTGATCCTGGCACTTTAAAAGGATCAAAGTGGCAAAAATACTATTTGGAACTCGCTCTGTTATGTGGCACCAGCTGATTGGTGGATCATCTGGATCCAGAATGACAGCTGGGAAGCAAACAGACTGCTTTATCTATGTGTCTTTTCTGGCCTTTTTACCTTGAAATCAAGCTGAAGATTTGGAATTACACAACTTTAATGTAAATATTTCTGTTTGTGATGCTGTTGTCGTTGGTTTGTCACATCTTTGTTTCCGATACCCAATCAAGACGTTCAGAATTGTGTTTTGAATGTAATTATTTTACATAATTTTGTGTATTTTTCCAGTAAAACTCTAGTTTTTCAGTGTTTCAAGTGTTTTCACCTCATTAGTCCACCTTGTATTGTGGCCTTCCTCTAAATGCTTTAAGTGCCAAAACATTTTTACATCATCAAAATATTTTTGCTTTGCCAATGTGTAAAATTTAGAAAAATAAAGGAAATGACTGTTGCAAAAATGACTACAAGTGTTTTGTATTTGTGTTTATAATGAACTCAATGCTGGCCGAGTTCTGTGGTGTGGTTAATCCCAGGACTCTAAGATTGAGATTAATGGCAGTTCCACATCAGTTTAGGATCACCTTGTGTCCTGTGTGCGTGTTAATCTGTTGAAACACTCGTGACAAGAGCAGCTGATAAGGTGGGCTGAGTGGGATCTTCAGCCTGGGTCAAATAACAGCAACAGGTGTGTTGTAGGGCATTAGCGACGCTTAACAAATGAGGAGGCCAGAAGGTCACGAGAGACGTCACACACGCGCACACACACACACACACACACACACACAGCCTAATCAAAAACCGTGGAGGAAAACGGCAGCTCTGATCTCCCACCGCTTAGGATCTCAGCAGTACTCAGCAGCACTAATGCTGCAGGATTTCATAATTGTATCCTTCTCAGCAGCAGCACTGCAGGTGCTCTCCATGTCCAAAATGTGCGTAAGTCAGGTCCTTAGTCAACTTAAAGTTGCGCACATTTTTCTGCTACGTTTTCTTTTATAAATCACAAAGTTTGCGTGGAAAGTTGCTTACGCAGTCTTCAGACCCCGTTTTGTGCGTAAGCAAGCTTGATAAATGAGGCCCCTGATCCTGCCCTCCCTGCATCGCCCAGTTTAGGACACCCTTAGTTGCTCGTTTTAGTAAAACCTTTGTTCTTACATTAGTTTCCTGTGTTGATTCTACATGTCTTGGGTCAAGCACTTAAACCCCAACATGAAAAGACATCATATTTACTTCCAAAACTCATATAATTATGAGTTTGCATGTCATGATTGCGTATCTAATAATTCTGACTTCATTTCTTAGAAAGCAGGATAAAGTTATAATCTTATAATTATGACTTTATGTCTCATTCCTAACACTGACATGCCATTTCCTCCTCTTACGCAGGCAACCACAGGCCTCTTTACCACATTTCTCACATGACAGACAGAAAAACATAACCTTATGTTTTTATCCATTTGTTGCGTCTCTCTCTCTCTCTCACACACACACACACACACACACACACACACACACACACACACACACACACACACACACACACACACACACACACACACACACACACATATGTACATATTTAGTATAAAGAACAACTGTTGTAGAAATCTGTTACAGCATAAACATTTGTCTGTCTGCTTGTTATTTGATATTATTTCAGTAAGAAGAGAAAAATGTAGAGTAGGGAAAATGTTGAATTCCACTTTAGATGAAGTAAACTAAATATGTTTATGCAACCATTAGTTCACATGAAAACAGCTCAGTCCAGTGTAGATCAACTCTCAGTAGTGTGGTCACCAAAGGAATCCTCCAGCTGTGCAGCTCCAAGGAGACCATCACTGAAGGTTTCAGTTTGCTGGTAAATTTTTAAACATGGTTTTGGGTCATGGGGCCTGAGGAGTGTACCCTGTTGCAGTTTCAGAAGAGCAGCAGCATCAGTGGATTTGAATGAAACTCTCAGAAAGTCTGAGCTCTGGTGTGAACCCCAGTGAAGGTGACGCCACCGTTGACTGACATGAGCAAACTCAGAAATGGTCACAGCTGTTGATTTTACAGATGTTCAGCTACAGTTCCCTGTGGCGTGGTGGCTGCGCCTCATTCATAACAGGTACTTGGTGATAACTGCAGCTTTCCCAGTGGAAGATGACTTTAGGGTTAGTTTGTTTGTTGTGCTCAATAAGAAACTTTTATTCTTTTTTTCCTTAATGCTGAAATAGCCAGCTTTACAAAACTCTCCATAAATACCTAAAAATGGAAAACAGTGGAAAATAATGAAATTCACCACAAAATGATTTTAGGTAGACATTGAATTTGTGATTAAAAAGAAGTCCCAGGACACGATAGAGGGACTATGTCTCAGGTGGCCAGGGATCGCCTTAGGATTCCCCCGGAGGAGCTGGCCCAAGTGGCGGGAGAGAGGGAAGTCCATGACCCGACTCTGGATAAGCAGCCGAAAATAGATGGATGGAATTTGTGATATTGAAATTTTATTCGTTGAAATTGTGTAGGCTGCGCAGTGGCGCAGTGGTTAGAGATGTTGCCTTGCAGCAAGAAGGTCCTGGGTTTGCTTCCCGGCCTGGGATCTTTCTGCATGGAGTTTGCATGTTCTCCCTGTGCATGCGTGGGTTCTCTCCGGGTACTCCGGCTTCCTCCCACAGTCCAAAAACATGACTGTTAGGTTAATTGGTCTGTCTAAATTGTCCCTAGGTGTGAGTGTGTGCGATTGTTTGTCCTGTGTGTCTCTGTGTTGCCCTGCAATGGACTGACAACCTGTCCAGGGTGTACCCCACCTGATTGCCCGTTGACTGCTGGAGATAGGCACCAGCCACCACCACCACCCCCACCACCCCAACCCCCGCGCGACCCTACGTGGACAAAGCGGGTTCAGAAAATGGATGGATGAATTATTTCTATTTGAATTTTCTTTAACGTAGAACACCAGGAAATATTTCACCAGTAAAAATTCAACTGCAGGATGTCATCTTCAAAAATTCAACAATTGAGTTGACCTGGTGACCCAAGCCATTGATGTTCTCTAAGTAAAAAAATATTCTAACATATAATTTCACTGAATTAAAAAGTCAATGACATAAACTCAATGCCAAAAATAAAGCCACGTTCTGGTGAGACTTTGTTGCTTCCATAGAAAACAAATACCTGGACAAACTGCAAACGCGTCTGCAGATGAAGAAGGTTGCATCCAGAGCCCATTTAGCTAAGGGATCAGAACATAGTGTTCCAAGTCAGCTGGGGTTTATGATTCATCTACATTTCTATCTACTCATTCTAACAAAAATAATAATACAACATGCAACCATTTATTGTTAATGTGTCCCAAAGCCACAGTTATTTGTTAGATTATATAAAAACTGACTCCACTGAGAGTGATTTTTCTGTTGTATTGACCAAAGGTCACAGAAAAAATGGTGAGAAGCTTTAAAAGCTAAAGAAATGCTGTGTAGACTCCCCAGCTTAGTCAGTGTTTAAACATGAGAGGCTTTTAATTTATTATTAATCCACTTGAACTTCATCCTAATCCGTGTGGCTCATAATCCAGCATCGTTACGGTGATTTTTTAAGCACCTATTATGTTTGACCTCTTACTGAACATGTGACACAAACATTAACCCAGATGCAACAGAGCTTACATGCAACTTTATTAATGCTAAGAGCAGTTTGGCTGGTCAGATTAGCTTCAGATAAACACTTTTAGATAAGGATAGCAAAGATATGCCTCTTTCATTTGATTAATAGCATGGACCGGCATGGTGATGGTTTTAATGCACTACTTGGCCTTGTGCTGCAAGATGAGAGGCTCTTTCTCTCCTTTCTCCACAGTGGACAAGTTTAAACGGTTTTGAGTGTGACCTCCACTGTCCTTCAGGAACATGGCGTTACTGGAAGCAGGAACCTGCAATGTGAAGAAATCAGTGAGCAGTGCTGTTAAACAAAAGACAGGCTGATGTATTTTGAAGCCGTTTTTAAACATTTTAACAACACAAGTCTCAGTGGTACAAAATAACAAATATGGACTCCAGTGTACCTGTGATTTATTTTGGCGACGAGTACGGCAGCCAACGACCATGATGAAGGCGAGGGTTGCCACCAGAATGGCAGCACAGGAAAGGACGAAGAACAGCGGGGTTCTATCTGCACATGACAGAGGGCAGCAATGTGAAACCATTTGAACTGGGGTTCTTTTCTACGTCTCACTGTCCGAACCTACGGAGGCTCAAAGAGTTCAGTGAAATACAACATCTAAAACACATCTAAAAAAGCTACAAATGGGGTAAAGTATCTGTATTTGTATAGCACCTTCTAAGGGTTCTAGACCCCCCCACCCCACCCCCCAAGGCGCTTCACAACACAATCTGTCATTCACCCATTCACACACACATTCACACGCTGGTGGGGATGAGCCATGATGTAGCCAGAGCTGCCCTGGGGCACACTGACAGAGGTAATAATAAAAGAGAAGTAAAACTCAACATAATACCATAAAACATACTCTGTGACCAAGTACAACCCTGTATGGCAAACAGAAGTTATGTTGACACCTTAGCTGCACCACAAACACAAGTAAACCCAACATAAGAGCATTTGGGTTCAGGTCGTTGGACCAACACCACCACTGCGGCTACATGGTCTCCTCTGGGCCACCGTGTCATCACATGCTAACTTGTCCTTTATGCCAACTCTCTTTGTTTTCTTTCATGTCATCTTTACCGGGACGCACTGGAAGAAGACATCTTCTATCTCAGTGGGAACTTCTTGGAGATTCAAACAAACAATCAAATCAGTCACTTATGATCTATCTCTGTGATATTAATTTTTTTACCTTCCCGGAAACTCACTTTAGAATATCTTAACTCTGTCTTTGATGTGTGGCTTTCATCTTTGTGGCGTGAACAACCGTGATGGTAGGTGTCCAGGTCACATGAACAGAGGAACTATTCTGACTCAGGTAGACCAACCTGTCCTCAGCTGACCCCGAGCATAAGGAGTGGGCATTAGAATTGCTGATTGTTCAACTATTGGATCACAGCTTTAAATAGATCACAATAAATGCAAATCAATTAAGGATGGTGGACATGTGAGGAGTTGTCAGCTCACTCTCTGATTCACGTGGCTTTTTCTTGTTCTCTATGCAGCTAATGAAGGAAGGAACATAGTTTGCTTAATCTGGAACGCCTAATGATGACACAGCAGAACTTCAGGACCCTTCTGGGTTATGGAAACACATCTATATGGTTACTGCTTTGTGATTATCACATTAAAATAGGGTAGAAGCAGATAAAGCTTTCACAATGTTCACTAAAGTTTTTACCTTCGTCGTTTCAATGACTGAATGAAACACATCAATCTGTATTTAATGGCTCATTTAAAAATAATATCTACACGTACCTTTCACTGTTGAATTGGAACTTCACCAAGGTGACTAATACTCATGTGTTTGCGTTTCAGTCTCTTGCCTTATTATTGAGTCAGTTTGACTTTTCTTTTCTCTCTCACAGCTCGTTAACCCCGTTTCTTTCTCTCCTAATGGATGAAGTCCTGATCCCTGCTGTTGGTTTTGATAGACAGTGTTTATCTTTGCTAATTTAACACATCCTTGTGCATTCATAAGCAACCCATTGTAAAACTAATAAAGCTCTTAAGATGAAACGCTGCTGATGTGGGTCGATGTGTTGGATTTACTTAAACACAAAACCTCAGGTGTGGTGTGTAATTTCATGACAATGCATTTTTCTTGTTATTTAAGAGGAATGTTGACACAGTGGTTCTTTATAAAACTATTTATGTCTATTGTGAGATTCACATGTCGATCATCCCTGGCGTCGAACTCAAGTACATACAACTGAAACAGAAGAGGACTGAGACTACAACCCTGTGGAACTCCATAGTTGCTCTAATTATGTTCTTTTGCTGTATGTGTCAGCCTCTGTGTGTCTGGGTGTGTTCAGAAGTGTGGGTCTCTTACTCCTCCCGACATTAAGACTGAAGGAAGTCCTCAGCTTGCTGACATTGTTGCTAACACTGATGTCCAGACAGTGGGCCCCAGTAGTGGTGAAAGTGTGATTCACGTGTAAAGTTTTTCCATACATCATGGTCAGAGTGCAGCCCATCGTCGTGTCAGGGTCACAGTGTGTGAGAATGTGCCAGCATGCCCACATCGGAGGACTTTAGACACAAAAAGAAAATATCAGTTTATTCTGAAATGCTCTAAAACAAATAAATATTTTTTAAAAAACACGATGTCATTTGTAGTCTATTACAACTTAGTCGTATTGAGCTTTAGTTTCTTTTTCTTTTATTGCCAACTGCAGCTTACCTTCCATCAACATCCAGAGTCAAACTGGTGTTGTGAGACATTCTATATTCAGCAGGCCCCTTCAGTTGAATGTTTTTGATGGCATCTGCAAGTAAACATCGATTATTGGTCAATTTAGCATTTAAATGCGTTAAAATGACTAATTCTATTCTGACATAAAGTAATATATTAAAGATGCTATAGAACATTTGGAAGACAAATTTGCAAAGGTGTGACCAAGTCACTGCTTTGCAAGTCACAAGTAAGTCACAAGTCTTTCCAGTCAAGTCTCGAGTCAAGTCCAAGTCAAAGACAATCAAGTCCAAGTCAAGTCCAAAGTCAATGATGTGGAAGTCCAAGTCAAGTCCAAGTCCTTAATTTTGACTTTTCAAGTCATATTAAAGTCAGCTGTCACAATGGTAATAAATAAATTCCAGAGATAAAGCTTCTTAAAGCTTCATTTGCTCAAACAAGCAGAAAGTGCAACTGAAACTGATTATAAACAAAGTGCTGCTGCATTTACCAGTAAATCAAACCCAGAACCAAGAATGATTTGTGATTTTTGTCCATGTCGTGTCACTTTTGTGCTAAAATATCAAATATGCTCCAATCACCAAGCCAACAGATGCAAGTCGATTCAAGTTGCAAGTCATTGGCGTTCAAGTCCGAGTCAAGTCATAAGTCTTAATAGATTTTATCAAGTCAAGTCAGAAGTCATTAAAATATTGACTCGAGTCTAACTCAAGTCCAAGTCATGTGACTCGAGTCCACACCTCTGCAAATTAGCTTATGTGGCAAGGTGGAGAAACGAGTCCTGGGTGAGAGTCACACGCACTAACCAGTCAGCCAAAGGGACATCCCCATGGCCAAGTAGCCAGGGCGCATGATCAATCGGGATACAGTGACAGGATGCTCACACTGTCACACTTGAAACATTTTTTCATGCCTCTTGTCAAAGTTCTAACATGGTATAGCTATAAATATATTGTGGAGATTAAACATTTACTTATTAAATTAATAAATTGGTTCTCTTGCATTTGTCTAAAACCTCTGTCAATAGCATGTTTCTGACAATTCGGTTGTCGGTTTCACTGGATTGCCAAATTGCCGCACTTCCCTGGGTCCTCCATTCATTACACACTCACGTATTTAGCAACAGAACACCACTGGTGTGAGAGGTTCTCCGCTCAATAACATCAAAGATGGAGAAACAGCCGGCTGCTAGTATTTCAACTTTAGGACAAACTACCAGAGTCCCTCAAAGAAAAACACCATTTGAGTCACGGACAACAAAAGACGTTTGGATCTAAAAAAAACGGTGACAGGTGTTTAGCGCTATCTCATTTCTTCCAGCATCATGGGTTTCCGGTTCTGGCAGAAGCATCTCAAGGAACACACTCAAGGAGAGGGTTTGGTGTTCCGTGACCATGTTTGCGTTCTGTAGATTCGCTATAACAGCTTTAATAAATGCTTATAAGGGTAAACAATTAAGCAGTTGACTGAACGATATGTATTTCTAACACTTTGTGGATTATTGTCTCAAAATCAAACCATTTCTGGCCCAGTTGGAGTTTCAGGATTAATACCTTTGTCATAAACCTGCCATATCCAGTCCTCTACTGCCCTCAGGTGGAGGATGTAAAGGTGCTAAGGGCCAGTTTTAACTCCATAATACAATAAAAAGATGATCCTAAAGCAGTTTTAGTATAGATCTTATTGAGTTCAACTAGGTTTAGGGACTGGGTTAAATAAACGATGTATTATAGGATTTTAAAGGGTTAAATTGCTTAAACGAACTATTTTACAGCGAGTTACATGATCAACGTAATTTATTAAGGACATACAAGATCTGTAATACTAGCTAATGTTTTCCTAATTTATTTTAGATCCTAGACATTTTTGATCACTTAAACAGTAAAGTATATTTCCTCACGTTACAGTATGGTTCTTCCACCTATCTTCTCTGTATTTCGTGTGGATTTTCTTGGATTTATAGACAACAGCGGGCGGGATCTTCACAGTTTTGTTTGAAACTCTGACATTGTCATGATTTTTACTTATTATGATGCAATGCCAAAAATAGCATTTGCAGCATACGTAATCATACATAAACTAACCAAGCACTTGCACATCCAGGGAGTAGACGCCGGTGACTGGAGACGTGTATTTGGGCTCGTTTGCTCCTACTTTCAGCTGCAGTGTGTAGTTGCCTGGTTTGGAGTACTGATAGCGAACGACCGGGTCGGCCCCTTCTATCACTTCTCTGCATGAAAGAAAGAAAAGTTTACTGTAAGGCTTGATGAATGCACACTTTGTTAAATTTTTACCAACTCCAGTCTTGTACCCATTGCCAAGGTCCCAGGTGTAAGTGAATCCTGCAGAACTGAGATTCTTCTGCGGATCCACCAGCTCAAACACGGTCTCTGTAGGGACATCAGCGGCCAGTTCTCCCGTGTTTCTCACATAGGTGGTGTTTCCCTCTGTTTGATAGAAAACCAGCTTCCCAGCAACATTTTCTGGTGTGAAAACAAAGATTTCCTTCTTTTTTTCAGAGAGTTTCACAAAATAATTGCTGATCATGTAAAACAACAGAGCAGGATCTTACCCAAATCAGACACAGAGTCTGTCGTTTTCACCACAACATAGAAAACCAGCAGAAGATGCACTAATATCTGAGTCAGTTGTTTTCTAGAAGCAGAAGTAGAGAAGATTTTAACGAGACAGGCGTTAAAAGGTTTGAGTGGCAGATGTTACGTTTACCTGTCCATGTCTGCTGGACCTCTTCTCCTCTAGAGAATGAGCGAGCTGGTGGAAGCGAGGGATTAAATCAGTCTGGTTTGCTCTGATCTTTCAGAATCAGAGCATGCAAAAGGAAATCCGGAAAGCTTGAAATTGTCACCATGCGTTTCAGTCATGTGGCTGAGGAAGAACAACCAGCCTCTGACAAACGCCCTGGTCACATTCATAACTGATGTCAACAGATTCATCACAGCTGGGTTTTAATGTGTGTTTTCAAAGAAATACAAAAGAAAACCCAGAGCAACACAAGCAGTCTGGTTTTTTAAGGTTTCTTGTTACAGAACTGTGGATAATTCTTACCCATCAAAAACAAACATATATAAAATATTTCAAACAAAAGAAAAATAAAGGAAAATGTTCAAAGTCTCTATAAACACTTTCATCCGGCATCGGACCTAGTGTTTTGTTTATTTAATTTTTAGGGTTGATCATTTCCTATTAACTGGTGACCAGATGATGATTCATCCCGTGGTTAAGGTGGAACGGTGCTGTTTCCTTCTCACATAAATAACAAGTTCAGTCACAAACACCAATGACGCTGTTGTATAATGGTGAGTAGTGACCACCTAGCAGTGCAGCTGACCAATCAGAACAAACTTCTCTTTCATCTGAGGTAATGGTTTAGCTTTTGATTTATTTTGGTATAAAATACTTGATCAAGCTTCATTGTCAAAAATGTCTTATTGTACATAAAACCATCTCAATTGTTCAAGTCCAAGTTTATTTTGACAGTGATGTAAGACTGATAACTTTTCAGCTGCTGGGTTATGTCGCCCTCTTCTGCCATAGAGAGAAATGTTTCCCAGCCTACTGCTGTCATAGGTCAGAGGTCGAAATAACTAGCCTGGCCTGCCAAACTCCTCCTCTGTTTAATTCCCATAAGGAAGCATGGTGGTGGATAGCAAGGCTACAAAATAACCTGCCCAAGCTGAAAAGTAGATATAAAACAAAAAAAGGTTGCAGTTATGACATCTTACACATTTAAGGCAAATGTTTAATAGTTTGTTTTCATTGCACAAGAAGTTGCATGTTATTACTTTAATGTGACCTTGTTAAACTTATTTATTTACATATTTTAGAGGCAAACCATGGACAAAACAGGTCTGACCACTTAGATTTACTCATTTATTTCTAGTCTAATAAATAAAACACAATGTAAAAACTTCTAATTTGTGCTGAAAATATCTTGAAATGTTCGATAATAAATGGGACTATATTATTATACTTTGCTTTTTTCAGAGTTCCCATGCTGTCCTCCAGCTACTTATTCGCACATATTTTAATGTTTTAAATATTATAATAATTTTACACATTAATATTACATAGATACAATAGTCGCCTTTAAAGCTTCTTTCCGGAGTATTTCTCTTATCCAATGGCACCATCTAGTGGCTGACAAGCATATTACACAAAAAGTCTATTCCTCTGTTTGTTCAAGATGGCGATTTCACGTTTCTGTTTATAAATGTGCTTCTGTAGCCGACAAACAGAGCTAAAACACGTTGTCTTACGAGTATTATACTCATGTCATGCTGAGTTCTCATATATTTATATTTTAGAGACTTACTTGTCTGTGAAAAGTTCTTCAACTCTGCATCAGTCGAGGTATTGCTTATTTGAAGCAAGTAAGCGGTTAGTTCTGGTCGGCGCTCAGTGTCCTATTGCACAGAGCGTGGTTAGCAAAAAAAAAAGACGTATTGCTTACATTTTATCATAGTACATGATGAGATAATCACTTTTACGGATTTCAGGAAAATCACACATCATTTTCTGAAAGGGGAAAACTCTCTGGAGAGTGTAACAGCGTCACCACCACCATATTGGGTGGGTCTCCTCACTCTCCAAAGTCAATGCAGAGTGAGCAACTATGCCCGTTTTTGTGCAGCCGACGGTTACAAAAACCAGCATACAATTTAATTTAGTGGGATTACTCGTGACTTTCCTAGACTACCTGTCAGGATTTTATATTAAAATGTATTTTTGTCTATATAGTTTAATTATATTTATATTTTAATTGTCATGCCATAACTTGTGTCTGCTTTTGAGAAAAAGCTTGATAAAATGGGTTTTTTAGTTGGGTAAGTACCTTCCTCGGTAGAAATGAATGCACTGGGGGCGAATGGAGACCCATCTAAAACGGCGGTTTGCCACTACGGCAGCAGTCCACGAGGTTCTGTGGTTTTCCCTAGCTAATTAGTAAAAGTGTGTAGCTACATGACTAATAGTGGCAGAGCAGTATCCTCAGAGTGTTTAAAATAAGATAATTTTTTTAAGCACAGGACATTATACTTTGGGCACATTTTAGTCTAATATGTTTTAGGAAACAAAAGTAGTTTTTAAACAAGAAAACGTTAAAGCAGAGGACAGAATTTCTCCATTTACAGCAGTGGATGTGATATTTTCCTAAAAGAAAAATGACATTTACCACGTCAGATGTGTCGGATGGCATATCAGCTACATATTCCATAACATGGTTAAAAGTTACAGTTGGGAGAATTGGAGTTCTTAGATCCAACTGTCTTTAATGTCTATCCAAAACCTACTGGAAGCAGGGCAATCCAAAAACAGGTGTTCAAGAGATTCATCAAAGGATGTACAAAAGGTGCATGGCGCGAGCTCAAATCTAAATTTTTTTGTAGGAAAACAGCCACTGGATAAGTTTTATTGAGAAATTTAAAATGTGTCTCTTTCACTTTTGGTCAGACTGGTAGTTTAATATATCCTGTAAATGCTTTGACTAAAGCCTCAGATGGAAGTCTCTATTATAATCATGAAATAAATTTGATTTTAGGGTTGCTGTAAAAAGGTTGCATCTTTTGTCATTAAGGTAATTCAATATTTGCAATTTAGACAAGGCTGGGAAAACTTTAGAGTAAATCATGAGGTTTTGGATCAACTGAACCAGAGCAGCAGGGATGGCTTTACAAATCTTGTTATATTTTCTTTTGGGGCAATGTATGTTGAATTTATTTAGAAAAACGTCATGATCCAGAAAAAAGCCATTATTTTTAATTAAATATGCCAATCAGGATTAAATATTGTTTTTTTTTTGTTAACGAGAATAAATCTATTAGTCCATAATAGAGACCCATGTGGTGTGAAATTGTGTGTGAAAATCATTTTCCAAAAGGACAGGATTTGGCCATGAACTTTAGACTCTTTTTACATAGCTTTACGAATATTTCTATCATGTTGTTGTCCTGTTCGTTGTCCTAAAATATCATGCTATGTTCCACTTATTCGAGAGTTCGTAAAATTTACTGTACTGTTTGATATTGACAACAATAAAGATTTATTTAAAAAAAATAATAAATTTGTGGCAGAGCAGCGCCCTCTGCTGGTCAGTAGGGTCCTTACAACGAGAGCCTGCTTGTCAGTGATGCGTCACATCATTTCCCTAGAGTCGCCGTGCGAGCTCCTCATCTCACCTGTTGAGTTTTAACCAGACGCACCTTTGCTTACGTCACTCGCTGCTCCCACCGCTCCACGCGCGTGACACTGAAGTGCACGAGGAAGTGTTTCGGTCTGTGAGTCCGCCGCCACCGGCTGGAGAGGAGAGCGTGTCTCTGCTCGCGCGCACCGAGCTGAGGAGCGGTCAGCAGCAATATTTGCCTCGGACCGAGGAGAACGCCCGGACCTCTTGCTGTTGTGTTTTTCTTTTAGGATTTATACCTCCGAGACGACCTGCCGTCATCATGTCTCGCGCTCCTGACGGTGTGAGCAAGCTCACTGAAAGTACATACAAGGTGTGTGAGAGCTCTTTCTACTAAAAACAAAGAAACAAGACTTAATGGGTGCCAGGAGGATGACTGAAGGTTTTGTGGCGCATTTTTCGTAAATCTTGTGAAGAAAGATGGGCTAAAATTAGTTTTAAATCAAATTAAAACTTTGAAAATGAAAATAACTAATAATTGGGAACTTTAAAAAGACGTGATTTATCGTAGTTTGATTCAACTTTTATCCATCTTTCCTTAAAATATTAGCCAGTTTAGGTCAGAACGCACACAGCTCTGACGTTTAGGCGAGTAAATCCTCTTGTTTAATAGAAAATGCAGAAACTGCTGCTGTCGTGGTTGAACGTGCGCAGTCCTTTTGTCTTATCAACACTAGCGATAGAATCAGTGATGTGTTTGATTGTGTAATCTTTGTTCTGTCACACCTAATCACGTTTACACAGCTGCCTCTCACAGTTGATCACATCTGGACGTGAACAGTGTGGATGGAACTTTACTTGGATCGCTTTTGTTGGAGTTTGGATTGTTTCCTGATTGGATGCGTGACAGAGTCATGCCTGCAGATTTATCTTTCAATCAATCAATCAATCAATCAAGGGGGGGCGTTTTCCTCATTTTTTCCCCTCTGTTCTTTTTAAAATAGCGTCATTGTCCTGGTGCTGAGGGTGTGCTAGGGCGCACGGAGGCACAGGAGAGATGGGTGGGCGGGTGGGAATGGGGGGGGGGGGGGGGGTGAAGTTGATTGTTTTTTCAGGAGCCCTGAGGTCCATGCTGCAAATAGCTTCAGGGAGTTGTAGGGAATACGTCAGAGGTCAAGGTAAAGATTAACGGGTTTATTGTTGACTATTTATAGAACAGCTGGAGCTCTAACTCACCCAGACCCCACCCACTAAAATGCCCAGAGGAGTTTTATAATCAAAAGCTTATTTTTGAAAAGAACTTTGAGATGTTTGTAATGAAAGAGAAAGTGACAGATAGAAACTACAGTATGTACTTTAATCCCCAACAAGTACTTGCCTCCTTACAAATGATTGTGAGGAAATTACTTATTAACTTAAATACTATCCAATAACCCATAAAACCAACACACAAAGAAAAATAATAACTCTAATGAGGTGTTTATGGTAATGAAAGCGTCACCATGGGAGGGTTTTATCCCTCACTTCCGTACATAATTGTTCTAATTTAGTACCGTTAGAGGGTCTTCCAGCAGGAACGGCCTGTTTAAGGTCAAAGGACAGATATTCTCCTTCAGGATGTTCTGCTTGAGAGCAGAATGTATCGGTCAGTTGCAGCAGGTGGTCCTGAAGCAGCAGAGCTGTCCCAGACCATCACACTACCAGCACCGTGCTTGACTGTTTGGGTTAGTGTCACAGCAAATGTAATGGGACACACACCTTCTAGAAAGTTCCATTTTTGTCTCAGGTCCACAGAATATATTCACAGAAGTCTTGAGGATAATCAGAAAACCTTTAGGGACAGGATGTGTTGCTTTTTGAGATCTTGTAGCCGTTCTCACACAGGTTCTGTTGACGTGATCCCTGCAGGTCTGGTAGGGATCAGGTGTGGCTGGGGCAGCAGAATTCAAAATAATGTTTAATTATACTTTACTCATACTTTAATTATAGTTCATTCATAATCTCACAAGAATGGGAATAACTTTTCAGATAAGACAGCTTTGTTCCTATTTTAGCTGAAATCATCTGAAAAAGGCCTTTTGTATCTCCTTCGGTTACCTTTGTCTGGTGTTCATGTTTGTTTTCTGTTGTGAAACTAGGGATGCACGATATATCTGCATCAATATCAGTGTCGGCAGAAGTTAGTCATTTTTTAACATATCGGTATCAGTCCGATACGTAAAACTGGGCCGATATTTTTTCCATCTTGTTTCCATTTGTTTATCTGTTTCAGAGGGTGGGGTGGTGTGTATTTGTTTAGTCATGTGACAGTGATTGTAATAATCTCAGAAGCGTAAAGGTGTGTGTGTACCTGATAACATAAATTCAACTTTAATAATTTTCATTCTATACAAAATCTGCTGATTTTAGAAGCATTAATGCCAGTACATCTGCATCGGCAAATATAGGTTATCGGACATTACGGTGATAATAATATCGGATATCGGTATCAGTGCATCACTATGTGAAACATTTAAGTGCTCCAGATGGTGAAAACAGAAACAATCTTTATTGGGACCATTCCTTTGTCACAACGCTGTATTTGTGATTTCTGTCCCAGAATGTGATGGAGCAGTTCACGCCGGGTCTGAGGAACCTGGTCAACCTTGGGAAGAGCTACGAGAAATCTGTCACAGGTAAAGCTAGCGTTCATCAGCAAACATGTTCTTTGCCCCCTCATTGGCAACTTTACCTTTTAAAGTATGTAACCATAAGCCAATCAGAAGCCACCTTATTTTGTCATGTTTGTCTTTTTTGTTTCTGCTGCAGCAATGAGTTTGGCTGGAAAAGCTTATTTCGACGCCGTGTCAAAGATAGGAGAAAACGCTATCGTGTCTCCGGCCTCCAGAGAGCTCGGTGAGTTTCACGCAAGTCCACTTTCTGTCCGAGCTGCATGAAATTTCACGGACTGGCAGAAGAGTGTGCCTGCTCACATTTCTCATGTTTTATTGTACGTGAAAAATAAATGAAAACATCTACATAAACGATTGATGAGACCTGCAGGTCTAAAAGGCAAAGCCACAGCTGAAGAAGTCTGGTTAAATATGAAGGAGACCTTTATCACAAATATCACTGGGTTTGTTCCCACACTAATGTTTTTAATCATTTATAATCTTAATCCTACTGTTAGAATAACTGCCTCATCTTAGACCAAACAGATGCTTGAAGGCAGGTAACGTACAAGAATGTTCCTTTCCAGTTTTACAGCTTTCAGGTTTTACGTGACACAGTTCTAGTTCAACTCTCGTTCTGGAATGGTGCCTTAAGCTGTATTCCTTCTTGATTCCTGTTTTTGTTAGAGATGCACCAAGAAGTCAGCCAGACATCACAATCTGACAATAATCACTTTAATCTGTAATCAGGTGGACCGATGCTCAAAACCCAGAATGTAGTTTTTACCCTGATTCATGAATGCCTCGGTGCTGAGCAGAAAATGAAATCAGTCAATGTTCCTGGTGGGTGATCTCAACAGTGCTAATGCTAATTCATGCTAGCACTAAATGATCTTCCACAGGAACCAGAACTCTACCCTCTAAAGCAGAACTGGCTTTTGTTTTGTAACAGTTGTGAAAATGAACT